TTGCATAATAACTATAGTTTTTTAACTAAAAGCGAAAAAAGTGCATTTTTACATGTTTTTATATAACAATTTTTTTCGACAATATGATTTTAATAAAACGATTATTATTTTCGAATTTTTTATAAAATTTCGCTTCTTTTGAGTACCAGGTTGATCTACTTTTGAAAAACTTTTTTTTCTCTAAAATATTAGGGTACCGGTAATTTTCCAAATAAAGTTGCGCCCTTTAAATCTATCACAATCATTCTCATATTTGATAGTATCAATATTAATAACTATTAGCAATGTTTAAAGCCTGTAACAAGAAAAAAAAAATTTATGACCCACCCTAATATATATAATATATATATATATATATATATATATATATATATATATATATATATATATATATATATATATATATATATATATATATATATATATATGTATGTATATATATATATATATATTATTATAAAAAAAAAAAAAAAAATTAAAAAAAAAAATTGATATATGTGAATGGATGCATCTGCAAATATTGTATGTATAAAATTCTGGAAGTTAACCATCCTTTGACAGTGGTTTAGCACTTTTGTCGGTGGAAGCGTAAACGTAAACGCACCAACATTTGATAATTTTGGCTTCACACACAGAGACACCATCATTTGATTTCTAAATTCTTCTACGCAATCTTTTGGACAACCTTGAAGTGCGTTTGGATGTACCTATTGCAGTCATATTCTTATTATTTTCGCTTATTTATTAATTGATTAACAATTAAGATTAGTGTAATTGTAAAATATATTTGAGTAACAAGATTCAGTGATCGTATATATATGCGAGTAAGATGTGAGTATATTATTGTTTTCGCTTGAGTCATGTGGTTCAGAAGAATTAGTATTTTAATTCAAGCCATAAAGACCATAACTAAAGAAAAGTTTAAAATTTGTATTTATTTATTTTTGTTTTTTTCTAAAATCTAAATAAAGTTCAAAGTTCTTCAACAGCGGTTCTTGGTGACAAGACCTGTATGGTCTTCTTTGAGTATCCACGTTCTTTATCTTTATTCATTATTTTTTAACGGTTTCTTTGCAGATAATTTTTCTTATTGATATATTTGTAAATATTGTATTAAATATTGTAATAAAGAACAAAAATAAAAATAAAAAAATGAGTGAGATTTTATAAATTATGGTACTTTTAATAGTAGGACTTTTATAAACTATGAGGTTTTTATTATTTGGGTTACTTTTATATTTTAATTATTTGACCTCTTATGTCTAAAATGTCAATGAATCCACTTATAGTAATCCAGTTATAGGTATTATAATTTATTCGTAGATGAACACGTGACACATGTTACCCATTAGGTTGTACTTATTTCCATAAAAATATTGTTAATTTGCTTACCAGCTCATTCGGTACACTTTCTGGTGTTTTGTTTTTTTTGTCAAAAGGTTCAAATTAATTTAAAAGTTTCATGCAAAGATAAGGATCAGAAATTTTTCAAAAGAACGTTTTTAAGTCATCTGCAAGCAAAACGTTTCAGTTCTGAGGAAGTTTTTATTCGTACGTAAACAGTCAACTGATTTCAAAAAAACGGTTTATTTCCGCTTGACACGGAAATGGCTAATACGTCTAAAACACCATCTTTTCAATCTGAGTCTTTATTATCACAACCAAGCCGAAACGAGTAACAACATCGTCTTAACCACTGCTTTTGGAATTTAAATTAAAGATATCTAATATCATTTTGATGTTATATATCTTTAATTTAAATTCTAAAATTCTTGTGCCATCAACATGCATTGTAAAGCACCAAAAGGTTTTCTTCTACATTATAGTAAGTCCTGCTATTTAAAAAAAATTTCCAAGGATATTGAAAAAAGCAATAGCAATTAAACTAATTACTTGCCGTAGTTTTGCAACAAAATTCACGTTAACACACACACACACACACACACACGCACACACACACATGCACACACACACACACAATGTAAAAAAGGTTCAAATAAAAGTCTATCAATAAAACTAATACTTGAGAGATTGAAAGACACTCACAGCAAACAAGCAGTTAAGCAAACTCAAAAACAGCCTAAGTTCAGCTCAAGGGCGGATCCATAAGGGAATGACACAAAATGATATTAAATTTTGTTAAAACTGTAAAACCAAAAAATTGCGTAACTAGAACTTCATAACCTCCAGAAACCTCACAACTTCAACATTATCATAAAAATAATTTTTTTTTATCAATTTGTTGTTTTTTCGGTTTTTAATTGTTATTATTGTTTTATTTTTTAAGTTTTTATCATTTGTTATTTTTTTAAATTAAATGTTACTTTACTTACCGACTTACTTCATACTTGCCAGATGTAAGAATTTTCATTTCAATAATGTAAGGTTTCTTAAAAAACTAAAATATTTGATATTTATATAATGATAAACAGTTCAAAATTCTCTAAAATTTTTTAAAGTATTAAGAGTATGCGACTTTGTATGTCATTTAAACGATGAT